TGTTGGTGAGTAAAAAAGTTTTCCCCCTAAATTTGTGCTAAAACTACTAAAGAATAGAGTAAGAATCCTTTGAAAGCAGTGGAAATTTAGAGAACACTGTTCTTGTCTTCCTAGTAACTTGTATGTTATTGGAGGCCAAGTTTCCCTACTGATACCAATCTTCATCTTTTATCACAGTTAACATTATTCTGAATATATATATCCTGGGTTCAACAAATAATTCTTATTTGTTCATTAAAAAGTATTAAATGAGTGTTCAAAATGTGTCAGGTATTATTCTGAGTGTTAGAATATAACAATGAACAAAATAGGCCGTAAGACCTTACCTCAAGGAGGATATGTTCTAGCTGAAGGAGGCATCCAATAAACAAAACAAGTAAATTATGCCATATATTGATAAATATTAGGGAGCAAAGTAAAACAGGGAAAAGGGATGGAGGAGTATCATCAGGTGGGGTGCAGTTCAGATGGTCTGAGAATGTGACATTTGAGTAAAGAACTGAAGGAGTCGTTGGAGTAACCATTGCAGGTGTCTTCGGGAAGAATGTTGAAAAGTTTTGAAGCAGAGAAGTAGCATGATTCTGTTTAAATTTTTCTTCTGAAGTGGTTTTTTTTATTATTAGTGAAATTAAGTCCCCCCATTATTATGAATTGTCTGTCTGTGCTTGTTAATCTGTGGTCTTAATGTTTTTCAAGAGAAGAGTAATCTAAGTGAGATCATGTCACTCCTCCGCTTCAGGCCCTCCATGGTTCACAGTTTAAAACCAGAGTCCTCACAATGACCTACATTAATCTGACCCCCATTTTTCCTTAGACTTTATCTCCTACTCCTGTCTCCCTCACTAACTCCACTTCAGTCACTCTGATCTTCTTTCTTTTCCTTGACCTTGCTAAGCGTGCTTTTGTCTCAAGGCCTCTCTCCTTGTTCTCTCTGTGTAGAAAGGTTTTTCTCCATTTGCCCCCTTGCCTCCTCTGGATCTGTACTCCTGTCACCCTCACAGTATGATCTTACAGAACCACCCTATTCAAGCCCATGGTATGCCTCTATCAAGGCCCTTTTTAGGACCATGGTAGGCTTCATTTATTCAGATCTTTAATATTATTTTATAAAGTTTTCTTCATAAAAATCTCACATTTTAAAGTTTACTTTTAGATATTTGTTTCTTATGGGGAATTGCTAGTTTTGTGTTTTTTCTCTTTAATGTTTTCTTACATGTTATTAATGTTATAGAGAAAAACATTGATTTTTGTATATGTATTTTGTATCTCTACAGATTTTTAAACTCAGTTATAATTTGTAAAAAAATAAAAAACCTCTGTTTTTTGATATGCATTGTGCTCATATGCAAAGAATAACCTTGCTTCTTTTCTAATTTTATACTTTGTATTTATATCTTACTGAATTGGCGAGAATTTTCAGATTCATGTTAAATAATAATTGAAGGGTTCTGCTTGAGGTTGGGAAGTAGAAAGATATGAAAGACCTTCACTCCCATTGTAATAACATGAAATCATCACATAAACTAAATAATCATACTCTTTTTTTAAAGCCCTCGAATGCAAAGAAATCTTAGGAAGGGAGAGGGAAAGACTAAACTCCAGAGGGACAAAGCCCTTCCTAGGTGATCAAGGGATGTAGAGGGCTTTCCTATCTCAGGCCAGAGGCTGAGATTGGGAGTAAGGCTGGCAGAGGAGTGAGCCTGCCTGAGGACAAGCTTTACTGGAATGAGGAGAAACCAGCCAGACTTTTGAGAAACCTGTTTCAGATTTGAATCTGAAGAGACCCTAAATACAAAGATAATTGTTTCCACCCAGTTCTCTCATGTGGAAATCTTGCTGAGATTGGGGGCAAGCTGAAAAGTGAAGAGAGATCTCTTGATTTGCAGTTTCATGGCCTAACAGTTTTGAAATCTCAGACTGTTGAAGGCTAGCAGTCTCAAGGCTCTGTGGTCCCTAGGTGCTGTCATTTTGTGAAGTCTCATAGTTTTGGTCTTGCGGTCATGCAAGTTTAAGGTCTAACACAGAGATTGACAAAACGTTTTTTTAAAAAGACAGATAATAAATATTTCAGACTTGGGGGCCATATGTCTGTTTATCACCATTACTCAACTCTGCCATTATAAGACATTAGCAGTCATAGACTATATGTAAGTAAATGGCGTGGCTGTGTTTTAATAAAATGTTATTTATATAAACATGCATGCAGCCTTTAGGCTGGAGTTTATGGACCCCTAATTTCAAAAACTAGCAGTTTCTGGGTTTTCCTGAATAAAAATCTGAACTCAGTTTTCAAAGCATTTGAACAGAGGCAAACTTAGTCTAACCAAAGCTGCAGTCAAGCTCCTATCCAAAATCTGGGATGATCAGTGATATCAGCCCCATGGAAATTAGGGACTTTGCATTCCCTATTTTCATCATTCCTTTGTGTTGATTGCTCTCTGGCATCATTCAGTCTGAGGAACATCCTTTAATACTACCTTTGGTGCAGTTCTGCTATTGATGAAGTCTCTCAGCTTTGATTTGTCCAAAAAATTCTTCATTTTGCCTTTTTTTGGGGAAGAATATTTTCACGGGATATAGAATATGAGATTAACAGTACTTTTTTTCTTTCAGCACTTTTTTCCCCCATTGTCTTCTGGCTCCCTTGTTTCTGAAGGGAAGTCATTGCTTATCTTCGTTCCCTTGTTTGTAATGTGTTTTGCTTACCTCTGTTGCTGCTTTAAAGTTTTGCTATTAGCAATTTGATTGTGACTTGCCGTGGTTTGGTTTTCTTTGAATTTTTCTTACACAGAGTTGTCTAATGAACTTTGGGATTTGTGGAATTACAGTTTTCATCAGATTTGGGAATTTTTCAGCTGTTATTATTTCAAATATTTTCTGCCATCCCTTTATGGGATCCCATGTGTGTTGTGCTGCTTGATACTATCTTATATAGTTCACTAAGATTCTAGTAACTTCACCTTTTTTCTCTCTTATGCTTCCATTTGGATAGCATTTCTTTTGCTTGGTGTTCAGAATCACTTATCTTTCCTCTGTAGGTTTTAATCTGCTATTAAATTTTCCAGTGAATTTTTAAATTTCAGATATTGTATTCTTTAGTAGTTCCAGTTGGTACTTTTTTATAGATTCCATTTCTTTCCTCAGTGTAGTCATGGTTTTCCGTAAATTCTTGAGGTATTTCTAATAGATGTTTTAAGGCCTTGTTTGCTAATTCCATCATCTGTTATTTCTATTAGCTTTTTGTATTGACTAATTTTTATCTTGGTTTTGGATCGCTTTTTCCTGCTTGTTTTCATATTTTTGTGGATGCTAGACATTGTGAATCTTAAGGCTAAGTGGATTCGCCCTTTAAAAGAAGTTTGTTTTCTTTTGATAGGCAGTTAAATTACTTGTGGATCAGCTTGACATTTTGAAGGATTTTTTTAAAAGCTGTGTTGGGGCAGGTCTGGAGTAGTCTTTATTCTGGAGTTAGTTTTTCCCCTTTTTTAAGTGTGACCCTCTGAGTCTATGAATACTCCCAGTGTTTATTCAGTAAGGTATCTCCACTCTGGCTGGTCAAAACTTAGGCATATCCAAGCCCAGCCTCAATGAATTTCACTGTGTGCATACACAGCTTACTCTTCTGCTATTCTGCCAAAACTCAACAAAAGTCCTGTGCGGACTTTTGGAGCTCTTTCTTTGTATAACTCTTTCCTCTCCAGTAATCTGCCCTGTAAATTTCAGCTGTCTTAACCTCCCAGAACTACAGCTTCTCGGTTTAACTTTGTGAAATCTCACTGCTTAGGGTCCTCATACCTTACCAATGTCTGGAAAGTGGCTGCAGGTAAAAAAAACCATGGCAATGGAAGGACTCACCTGCTTGCTTTCTAGATCTTACTTTAGTTCCTTGGGGGGAAAAGCACATATAAAATGTAACTATGGTTGGAGCTTATCTGTAATTTTTTATTGTACCTTCTGTTGAATGAGGAGAGAAAGATATTCATGTTTTCATGATGCTCCTATTACTTACCACATTGTAAATCCTATTCTACCTCATCTGTCATTTATTGACTTTTGTTATTTATAAGATCCTTTTCATATTCTTTTTCATTAATTTAATAAGTATTGACTAGGTAGGTAGTTATTCTATCAACAGGATGAATCAGACATGGATCCTGCTATTAGGATGATTACAGTGTAACCAGGAATGAAATAAGATAAAAACAGAGAGAGAGGCAAACCATAAGAGACTCTTAACTCTAGGGAACAAACTGAGGGTTGCTAGAGGGGAGGTGGGTGGGGGGAATGAGGTAATTGGGTGATGGGCATTAAGGAGGGCACTTGATGTAATGAGCACTGGGTGTTACATGCAACTGATGAATCATTAAATTCTCCCCCTGAAATTAATAATATACTATATGTTAACTAACGTGAATTAAAAAAAAAATCTTTAAATCCAAGATAGAGATGGAAAATTATGAAAAATGAGTATAAGAAAAGTGGTATAGGAACCCAAAAAGAAATATCTCAGTTGTTTATTATTTTACATGTTGGATTTAAGCAAACTACTTAATGGGAAATTGCAAACATTTTTTTTCTGATTTTGAAGCCACTTTTATATTAATTTAAATTTAATTTTCAGGCCGTTTTCTTTATTTTTTAATTTATTTTAGAGCACAGGCGGGGGTGGGGGAGGGGCATATGGAGAGGGAGAGAGAATCTTAATCAGGCTGCACACCCAGTGGGGAGCCCAACTCCAGGCTAGATCTCATGACCCTGAGATCATGATATGAGCCAAAATCAAGAGTCAGACACTTAACCAGCTAAGCCACCCAGGCACCCCAATTTTCATGCCATTTTAGATATAATGTATTTGTCTTTCAGAGTTTTGTTTAGGTAATTGTTTTTAGCAATTGAATTGGAAAATTAAAATATATCCTTGGAAGTTAAATGATCAGATTGAACTAACTGCCTAGAAGAGAAGTCTGAGGTTTTATAATCTTATTTGATTTAACGCTCAGTGGAGGAATCAGACATCATTGATCTGGAGAAACGCTACTGGTTGCTAAAGGCTCAATCCCGGACTGGACGGTTTGACCTAGAGACATTTGGCCCATTGGTTTCACCACCCATTCGTCCATCTCTAAGTGAAGGTAGGAATCATTCTATTTTCTACAAATGTTCTTTGGTAAACACACCTGAAGCCATCTCTTATTTCTAATCAATATATCTTAACTCTAAAAGACCATAATGTTATAAGTTTGCAAGTTTCTTAAAAATAGTATAGTGGAAAAAAACTAAAAGGGGAATTAAGATTGTAGTGTTGAGCTTCCTATTCTACCTATGTAACCTTGCATAAAGGTTAGCTCCCTGCACCTGAATATCCTCAAATATAAAACGAGTTTGACCAAGTTAGTCACTGTATTCCAGTGAAGTATCTCAGCCACTGGTGTAGGGATTAGGGTGGTGGTCACTGCCTGGGTAGAGCTCCAGGTCTCCACACATAACCCCACCTCTTCCTCACCTCAAGCGCCTCCACTTTTTTTCTTCTACATAAGAAGGTTCCACTGCTGTATCCACCCCACCCCACCCCTATACCCCCTGCACCAAAAAAAGATTTAAGAAACTATTGGACTGGACCATCTCTGAGGTCCTTTCTAGCTCTAAACTTTTCATTATTATAACATTTTTTGTTTAATTAGGAATACAGAGAGTAATTATGGGTGATATCATAAAAATATTCAGAATCTGAATATTTGGGTTCTCTTTTTGATTCTGACCTTTTTCGACTTTTCTTTACTTTTGGCCAATCATTTAACCCCTGCTGAGCTTTAGTTTTCTACTGTTTAAGGAATTACATTCTTAAAATGTACAGTCTGTGTTCTTCAGATTCCTGGGCTACTTCAGAAGTACTTATTGGAAGAGCCAGAACAGATAGGGCTCTAGACTTTTCCACTTACTTCAACAGTGCAATTGAGATTTTACCTTTTTAGAATTGAATATTGAGAAATCATTTTATTTGAAAACAAAATTATTCCATTTGTATTTTACAAAAAGTTTAAAAACCACAGGATTATATTCTTTCTGATTTTAAATATTTATTTATAAAACATGAACTATGACAAAGAAGACTACAGTACAGAGAATATCTTTTGTTTGTAATATGGTGTTTTTTTTCTTTGCTTAATGAAAGCTTTATGGGAGCTTACATAGCATGTTATATCTTTGAGCATACATCAGCTTTTCTCCTTCATTTTTCCTTTTTCTTCTTAATCATTCTAAGTAAGGATAATTGTAATTGCTGATTTTTTTCAGTTTTTAATTTTTTAAATTGATTTTAATTTTTTACATACTATTGTCATCTTTAGCTGTTACAACTGATAGAAGATAGAGACAAACAGGAAAATATAACTGAACACTAAACGACTGTAATGTATTTTCTGCTAGGATCTTAAGTTTTAGTTATACCAGGAGAAAAATGCTTCCTGAGACAGTGGGAATTACTGATAAGCTTTTTTTTTTTTTAATTTGGCCAGTTTATGGGTGTCATGCTCCTTTCATAAACATGATAGTATTAACATTAGGAGGCTTGTTGGCTGTGATTTATGGTGTCTTTTCCTATTTCACAGGTTTGTTCAATGCTTTTGATGAAAATCGTGACAATCATATAGATTTTAAGGAGATATCTTGTGGGTTATCAGCCTGTTGCAGGGGACCCCTGGCTGAAAGACAAAAATGTAAGTGTGTTAAACATTTAATTTAAACAATTAAAAATTTGCAAACTGTATATACAGAGAAAAAATTAGCATTCATCCATGTAAAATCATCTGTGTATTAAGGCTTGAATTTTTATCACGTTGTCAGGTTGGCAAATACCAGTCTCATGTTGAGGTTTTACTGAAGTCAGTCTAAGGATTCAATCTTCTCTTCTTTTTTACTGTGGAGTAGTTTGGGATCTTTGTGATTAATAATGGAATTGATTTTCCTGATGAATTTGCAGTTCATGATAAGTGAACTACATCAGTCACAATATATTTGACAGTAAGCATTTAGAAAACATTTTCTGGTAGTCCATAGAGAATTTTGTGTCTTGCATAATTTAAAGTACAACTCATTTTCTGTCACTTGTATACATTAATATTTTATTAGTAAGATGAAATCTATGATCAAAACACAACTTTATTAAATACTAAAATGGTCTTTTTAACCTAGCTAAAATGTTATAGCATAATTTACAAGCATAAGTTACATTACATTATTAAATCTTAACCATATTTGAGAAAATGCAACAAATTGGAACCTAATTCTATTGTATTTACTAGGGTCATCATTTCTGTGTCTTTCTAAAATACAGCTTCACAAATGTCACTTATTTTGGGTGTGCTATTTGATATTTTGATCTTCTTTAGTAATATTTACTGTGATGCACTCAATTGATTTAATAGCATAATTATTATGGCAGCATATTGAAATAGATAATTATTTAATCTTAAAATTCAGGATTCTTCCCTGATGATATGCCATTACTACAGTCTGGCTTTATAGTAGATTACATGTTCCCATTAAAGTTCTAATTTTAAATAAGGAGGCTGAAATCTTTGCTTCTCACATGAGGTTAATTATCACCTTATATTTGTTTTTAATTTCCTTTCTGCTGATGGACTAACAGAAGTTAGCAAACTGTCGTGATTTGTTTGGAGTTAATTAGGAAAGTGCTGCTATTTCTTTTCTTTTTTTTTTTGAAGATTTTATTTATTTATTTGGGAGAGTGTATGTGCAGGAATTAGGGGAGGGGTAGAGGGAGAAGCAGACTTCTTGCTGAGTAGAGAAGCAGACTTATTGCTGAGCAGGGCTCAATCCCAGGACCCTGAGATCATGACCTGAGCCAAAGTCAGACACCTAAACCGACTGAGCCACCCAGGCACCCCACTGCTGATATTTCTAATTCTTAGCATGTTGTATATAACTTCATTGAAGAGTTGAAATTGTTCTTTGGCAAAAAATTGAGTGTGCATTAATTATATTAGAGAGGCAGAGTGGAAGCAGACCATCTTTATAACACCTTGTTATTGATTCTTTTTTCTTTTTTAAATTTGAGAGAGAGTGAGCAATTGTGAGAGTGAGCAGGGATGGGGAGGGCCAGCAAGAGAGGGAGAGAGAGAATCTCAAGCAGACTCCCCACTGAGCATGGAGCCCAAAGTGGGGCTTGATATCATGACCCTTAGTTCATGACCTGAGCCAAAACCAAGAGTCAGACGCTTAACCGACTGAGCCACCCAGGTGCCCCACCTTATTATTGATTCTTAATATAAATGGAATATTTTCAACATTATAAAAATCAATTCTGCAATGATCAGTTTTAAATATTAGAAATTAAAGGCTTGGATTACCTCCTCAAAACTCTGAGGTATTATAATATTTATTGTATGGTAACTTAATCCTTTTTTATTAGTTTGCAAGGAATTTAGCTCTAGATTTGGGGAAAGGATAGGACTCTGTAACCCAGGTAGTGATTCAGAGAGAGATATATGAAGTATGCAGAAATCCTACTAGTGCAGAGGACTTTAAAGACGTATTATAGTCTGCTCCAGATGAGAACTTAATCCAGAATATACTTGCTTGAGAAACTAAGTGATTTTAGTAGGGCAACTTCTAGTGAAAGTCATTGTACTTCAGAATAGAAAAGTAATTTCCCTCCATAAGAGTTTCTTTTCTTTAGTTTGCTTCAAGGTGTTTGATGTTGACCGTGATGGAGTTCTCTCCAGGGTTGAACTGAGAGACATGGTGGTTGCACTTTTAGAGGTGTGGAAGGACAACCGCACAGATGATATCCCGGTAAGTTCTGATTTTATACATATTGTTGCATGTAAACTTCCAATAAGAAAATAGAGTGGAGGATTTAAAAAGAGAGGCCACTACTCCACATATTCATAGCTGAAGGTACAAAATTGGGAAGAGAATGTGCCTTAGAAAATTTAATAAACTGAACTTACTGTGTAAAGTAAGAATGAAACTGCAGGAGAATTCTCTTAATTATTTCAAAGCAAATCTATTTATTAAGGTAATTTTAAAAAAGTACTTGACTGATAATTACTAGAGTGGAGGGATGTGGGAGGATGGGTTAAACAGGTGATGGGAATTAGGGAGGGCACTTGTGATGAGCAGTGGGTGATGTATGGAATTATTGAACCACTATATTGTATACCTGAAACCAATATAACATGTATAACGCTGTAAAAATATAAAATAATATTAAAAAAATTTTTAATAAAAAATTCTTTAAATACTTGACCAAAATACAGTATACTTTAGCCATTGAATAATAAAAATGGTAACTACTCTTTTCTAATTATTCCTTTGGATCTCTTTTTTTAAAGGAGTTACATACGGATCTATCTGACATTGTAGAAGGCATATTAAATGCACATGACACCACAAAGGTGAGTCTAGCTAGGACTAAAAATGAATTATATTCTTTTCTAAAAATACCATGGTGGGGCACCTGGGTGGCTCAGTCGTTAAGCGTCTGCCTTCGGCTCAGGTCGTGATCCTGGGGTCCTGGGGTCCTGGGATCGAGCCCTGCATCGGGCTCCCTGCTCTGCGGGAAGCCTGCTTCTCCCTCTTCTACTCCCCCTGCTTGTGTTCCCTCTCTCACTGTGTCTCTCTCTGTCAAATAAATAAATAAAATCTTTTAAAAAATAAATAATAAAACTACCATGGTACTCTGAATTAGGATATATAGCTTATATACATATTTGAATCTCTCCAGCATCATCTCCTCCAAGTGCTTATTTGGACTTACAGTTATAGTACCTCCAAGTTGTCTCTAAAGATAGCCCATTCCATCTTTTTTTTTTTTTTAAGATTTTATTTATTTATTTGAGAGAGAGAGAGTGTGTGTGCACAAGAGAAAGAGTATAAGCAGGGGTGGGCGGAAGGGCAGTGGGGCTTGATCCCAGGACGCCGAGATAGTGACCTGAGCTGAAGGCAGATGCTTAACTGACTGTGCCACCCAGGCACCCAGCCCATTCCATCTTTAAACAACTCCATTAAGTGTTTATATATACATTTATATTATATAAGCTAGGTATTTTATAAAAATTAAGTAGACATAGCCCTTATCATCTATGGTTTATAATATTTATTTTTCCCATTTTAATAAGTTATGGTAGGGCTAACCTTATATTGAGCAAAAGAAGTCACACAATAAAGAATATTTACTGTATGTTTCCATGTATATGAAACTCAAAACAGAGGCAAAACTAACAAATGGTGATAGGTATTAGAATAGTTATTTGGGGGATGGGTGGATTAATTGGGAAGGACCATAAGATATCTGGGATGATGGAAATGATTTTTTTTTTTTAAGATTTTGTTTGTTTATTTGAGAGAAAGAGAGTGCACAAGCAGGGGGAGGGGCAGGGGGATAAGCAAACTCCCTGCTGAGCCAGGAGCCCAACATGGGGAGCTCAACATGGGGAGCCCCACGTGGGGCTTGATCCCAGGACCCTGAGATCATGACCTGAGCCGAAGTCAGATGCTTAACCAACTGAGCCACCCAGGCGCTCTGATGGAAATGATTTTTTATCTGAATCTGGGGGTAATGCATACATTCCTGAATTATTTTTTTCAATAGTATTGGTAAAGCTCTCCCCTGAATTATTTAATGGCAACCAAATTAATCATGTAATACCAGGAATAAGCATATACTTTACAAAGAGTAAATTCTTGATTTTTTTTTTTAGTTAGACATTTATTAATAAGGATATTATTATAGATTTATTCCTATGGCTTATATTACTGTAATGTCTTTGTGACCCTGTGTGAAATTGAAAATAAAGCACATATGTGAGGCACATTTGAGTTATTTTGAGCCTTTCCATTCAAACATTGATATGTACCAAGTACCAGATTGGTTAGAGATAGTCCGTAGTGGTATTACAGAGGTTTAGAAAAAATAAGTGACATCAGGTTTTTTTTTTTCTTTCTTCAGTCACAATTCCAGAAGGAATCATTATAGTCTTATTAACTGATGCTCAATAGAAACAAATAATAGAAGTGAGTCTTACAGGGCTTGAGCTTGTTTGGCAATACAGCCTTCTCCCTCCTTTGCTTCTCTCTTCCAAAAAACTAAGGTATCCACTTCTCTTTGATATGCATAGAAACCTGGAAAAATTTCTGTTAGAAAATCCCTGATATAGAGGTACCATTTCTAATACCCTTTTTCTGAGCGGTAAACATGTAGGTATTATTACTGTCTATTTTATGTAAGATGTAATTTCTTCTTCTGGCTCTACTGTGAACATTAACAAGAAGATAATTAGGGACGTCTGGGTGGCTAAGTTGGTTGAGCGTAAGTAGGTTGACCTACCTTCCTCTCAGGTCATGAGCCTGGGGTCCTGGGATCGAGCCCTGCACTGGGCTTCCTGCTTGGCAGGGGAGTCTGTTTCTCTCTCTCCCTTCCCCCACTCGTGCCCTCTCTTACTCTCACTCACTCTCTCTCTCAAATAAATAAATAAATAAATAATTTTAAAAAGATTTTATTTATTTATTTGACAGAGAGAGTTACAGCGAGAGAGGGAACACAAGCAGGGGGAGTGGCAGAGGGAGAAGCAGGCTTCCCGCGGAGCAGGGAGCCCGATGCGGTGCTCAATCCCAGGACCCTGGGATCAAGACCTGAGTCGAAGGCAGATGCTTAATGACTGAGCCACCCAGGCACCCCAATAAATAAAGTCTTTAAAAAAAAAGAAAAAAAACAAGAAGCTAATAATGGTAACAGTTTAGAATAAAACTTGGACCTTTCAGCCAAACCTATTAACCATTATCACTGGAGACAGATTATGTCAATATTACACTTTTTTTGGTACTTCTGGATTTAGTATTAACATACTAAGAAGAAGCTGTATTATGAAAACTAATAATTATAATCACAGTACTTTAAAATCTTTTTGTATCATATACGGTTATCATATAGTGAAAAGAGAACATATCAATATCATTAATAAAAGCAAAAAACATTACTGTTCATCTAGAATTGAACACATGCAGTAAAGTTATAGCTTTACTATAATTTTAGTAAATTATAGTTATAGTTATATGAACTATATGGTTATAGTTCTGCTGAACAAGAAAAAAACATGTTGCCTCTATATGCATATGTAATTTTTTGTATATGTTGACACCACAAAAATGTTGCTTTACTCAACTTGTAATTTGTTAAATTGTTTTTTGGGGAAAATTAATATAATTATTTATTCATTTTTGATATATCAAAAATTTGTTATCAAGTTCCTTTAAATGTCTAATTAGTCTGATAATATTGTCAGATATTTCTAAGAGGGTCTTAGAAAATTGTTAGAATTGGGACTCCTGTGTGGCTCAGTTGGTTGAGTGTCTGCCTTCCTCTCAAATCATGATCCTGAGGTCCTGGAAGAGCCCCACATTGGGCTCCCTGCTCAGCAGGGAGCCTGCTTCTGCCTCTCCCACTGCCCCTTCCCCTGCTCATGTTCTCTTGGGTCATTTTCTCTCTCTCAAATGAATAAATAAAATCTTTAAAAAAAAGAAAGAAAAGAAAATTGTTAGAATAAAGCGCATAATCCAGAGAGTCTGCTTTTTGCTTTCACAATTTGTAAATATTCCACTTTCCCTATTCAGAGCCTTTTGCGGTTTTCCATAGATAACCCTTGAAGCAGGAGATAATGTGAGTTATTTCCCAGATCTATTTGGAGGAATGAAGATTGTTGACAATAAATTGTCCTTATTACCACTGACTGCTTTGACAGAGTTTTGTTACTTTTAAACATCCTAGCTGGTCTAAGTTTTCAGATGAACACACAGCATCTACTTTAAATTTTTGGTTTGCTTTCAGAAAAATTACTGATATAAGTTTAATAAACCAGATTTTATTCAAATGCTATAAAAATGAGGGCATTCTTGGGGTGCCTAGATGGCTTAGTCAGTTGGGCGTCTGCCTTCAGCTCAAGTCATGATCCCTGGGATTGAGCCCTATGTTGAGCCCCTTGTCGGGCTCCCTGCTCAGCAGGGAGTCTACTTCTCCATCTCCCTCTGCTCCTCCTCCCTGCTTATGCGTCCCCTCCTCTCTCTCTCTCAAATAAATTAAAAAAAAAAAAAACAGTCTTTAAAAATGAGGACATTTCTTAACATGAAATCTTCTAAAATATTCTTTCTCTTTCAGATGGGCCATCTTACTCTAGAAGACTATCAGATCTGGAGTGTGAAAAATGTTCTTGCCAATGAATTTTTGAATCTGCTTTTCCAGGTATGTTTAAGGTAAATGACAGGTACAGAGAATAGTAGTTCTATGTCTGTTTCATTGTGTAGTGGTTATTACAACTCAGCTACAAAACCACCTATTATAAAAAGAACTACATTATCCTGTATACACCTGAAAGATGGTAAGATAGAGTATGAGAGCCCTGAGGCATCTCAAAATCATGACATGAGAGATGAGGAAGTAGAATAGAGGTGATTATGTTTTATTTATCTTATAACTCATGGTAGACCAGCATGTTAAATACATAGAGAATAATTTTAGATTGCAAAAGCCATCATAATTTCCTATTTTTCTTCACTGTTGTCTTTTTTAAAGGCCCTTCCTAACAACTCAGTCAGTGTGAACAGAAAGATGGATCATAAGTAGGCAGCTGTAAAATTTTCAATGTACACAGTCTCTCCAGTTAGATTATTTTGGCTGCAAGGCTGTTTCTAAATTTTTAAAAAAATTCTTTAGAAGAACCAAGAAAGATTGAAGAAGGAGGAGAGAAAAAGTGCAAAATGCCAGGAATGAACATTAAGTCATAAGGCTTGCCAGATTTCAACTATTTTCATTAGAGTAGTTCTCTTGCTCCAGCTTAAAAAAGTAATTTATGATTTCCCATTTTTTATAATTCTTCATAAATAGTAGTGGTTGATTTAGTAGTGGTATTTTAGATTCTTTTTTTATTTTCCTTCCCTTGTAAAAACACCCCTGTGAAGGTCAGTAAAGTTTGGTATTTTTGTATCTATCGTGCTCTTCCATTTTTTTTCTTTAAATTTTTTATTTTTGTGTTAATCACCATACATTACATCATTAGTTTTTGATGTAGTGTTCCATGATTCATTGTTTGTGCATAACACCCAGTGCTCCATGCTGGTGTTATGCTGAATGAAATAAGTCTATCAGAGAAAGACATGTATCATATGACCTCACGGATATGAGGAATTCTTAATCTCAGGAAACAAACGGAGGGTTGCTGTAGTAGGGGTGGGGTGGGAGGGATGGGGTGGCTGGGTGATGCTCTTCCATTTTAAAAAAAAAGAAAAACTCGTCTGTGTATGGCTATGTTGGAATAAATGGAAATTGGCCTCTTCCTAATAGCTAATGACTAATGACTATGGATATAAAACATATACAGTCTAAAAAGCCTGTAATATCAATTTACATCAAGCAGTTGCTCCACTATCAGTTATAATTTTCATCAGGATTTAAGTTGATGGCTTTATAAAATATAAACAAATACAAAAATTGTATAAATCACTATTCTAAACAGAAATGACTTGCTTGGTAAATTGATCAACTATTTTTATCTCATTTAAAATAATATCCTCATTACTTTATCTCATAATTATATAAACATTTAGATTACTTAGGCTTATGTCTGTGTCATCTTGTAGCTCTCACATAGCATAGCGTTTTGATTTTTTTTGTATTGCCTTTTCTGTTTTCTTATTTTTTTTCTCATTCTTATCAAGGACTTGGAGTGGCACTGTTTTTCTATGACTTATTTATAAATAAGCATATGCTTGAGATTTACTTTTGTGTGTGTGTGTTTCTAACATACTATGAAGAGCTGGAATAGTTTTCATTGAATACCTGTCACCTACATTTTAACATACATTTTACTACATTCACTTTATTTCATATACAATATGCTTTTAAGTAAGAGACTGTTATGCTAAGTTGTTTTATTTTCTATGTATCTTAAAATTGGTAGAGTTAGTTGGTAAGTCTAGCAATAAAAGCTTGAATTACGCTCTTATTTGCCAAGATCCCTCTTGACTGAGTGTTTTGGCTATTTAAGTGTAACATACATAAGTGTCAATAGAATTAGAAAACCATCCCTGTAGTAGTATCTTTATTTTCAATCTTTTTTGTAAACTCAGTGCCCAATATTTTGCAGAGGAAGCATGCTAAACATAACCAGGGTCTTGTTTCTTGTGCATTTGTCAAAAAGTGTCAAGTTTTAAAAAGCGTGGTAGGCAGAAAAATGCACACCACCTCCAACACCAGTTATCCATGCCCTAATCCCTGGAACCTGTGCATATGTAATCTTACATGGCAAAAGGGACTTTGCAGATGTATCAGGTTAAAGACTCTGAGACAGGGAGATTAGCCTAGCAGATGGGCCTATCTAATCACATGAGTCCTTAAAAGTAGAGCACCTTTTCCAGCTGTGGTCAGAAAGAGGGAGGGAGGTAAAGGAGGAGAGGGAGAGAAATGACATTGGAAGAAGGGTTAGAGATGCTGGCTTTGAGGTAAAGGAAGGGGCTGTGAGCAAAGTAATGTGGATGAACTCTGGAAGCTGGAAAAGGCAAGGAAATGTATTCTTTTTTTTTTTATTCTTTTTTATTTTTTTAAGATTACTTATTTATTTGACAGAGACAACGAGAGAGGGAACACAGGCAGGGGCAGTGGGAAACGGAGAAGCAGGCTTCCCGGCCGAGCAGGGAGCCCAATACGGGGCTCGATCCCAGGACCCTGGGATCATGACCTGAGCCTAAGGCAGCCACTTAACAACTGAAACCCCCAGGCCCCTGTACTCTTTTTTTAACCTCCAGAAAGGAATGCAGCTCTGCTGACACCTTGATTTTTTTTTTTAAGATTTTATTTATTTATTCATGAGAGACAGAGAGAAAGAGGCAGAGGGAGAACCAGCCTCCCTGCGCCTGATACAGGACTCAACCCCAGGACCCTGGGATCATGACCTGAGCCGAAGGCAGATGCTTAACCTACTGAGCCACCTAGGTGCCCCGACACCTTGATTTTTTAACCTGGCGAGGTCCATGTCTGACTTTTGACCTACAGAACTGTAAGATAATAAATTTGTGTTGTTTTAAGATGCTGAATTTGTGATAATTTATTACAGACGCAATAAAAAACCAATGCAGAGGAAGATAATCCACATTTATGGGTCTTAAGGCTCAACATCTTAAAGGTGTCAGATCCCTTTAAATTGGTTTGTAGATTTGGTATGCTAGCAATCAAAATCCCAGAAAGTTTAATGTCATTGTTTTTGTGGAACTTAAGCTGATTCTAAGTACATAAAGAAGTAGAAAGGGCCAAAAATAGGATAATGTAAAGAACAGTGTTAGAGGACTGATGTCACCGGATATTACGACTTCCTGTAAAACAACAGTATTAAGACAATATGATATTTGTGTGTGTGAAGGTAGACATAGACCAGTGAAACAATACTGAGAGTTTATTTAAACAGACCTACATGTATGTGATCACTTGATTTATAACCAAGAAGACATTGCATTGCAGATGGGAGGGGGTGATCTTGTCAATAAATGGTGTACTGGGTCAATTGGTATCTCTATGGGGAAAAATGCATCATTATTCCTACCTCATGCCATAGATGAAAATTAATCCCAAGTAGGATTATAAGTCTAAAAAGTTTGAAAGGTAAAAATAAAGCATTTAGAAAATAATGTACAAGAATATTTTAATGGCTTTGAGGTGGAAAAGAGTTCTTTAAAAGGACACAGAAAGCATTAACCACCAAGGAAAAGTTTTTAAGTTGGACTTCAGTAAAATTAAGAGGTTTTTTATTTTTGTTTTTTAATTGGGAGATACCATTAAAAAAATGAAAAGATAAGTAGTGCAGTGGGAGAAGTTGTTTGTGATACCTATATCCAACAAGATGGGTGTCTAGGGCATACAGAGCATAAAAATCAATGAGAAAAAGGTAAAACTTTAGTATAAAAATGTGTAAAGAAAACTTGAAGAGATGCTTTACCAAAGAGAATATCCAAGTAGTTAATGAATGTTATGAAAAGGGGCTCCTTAGTCATCATAGAAATACTATTAAAACCACATATGAAATAGTAGTAGACATGCCCCAGAATAGTTTTTAAGTGATATGGAGTATTGGTGAGGATAACAAGAACCTGGAACTCTCATACATTGCCAGTAGGTATATAAATTATTACAAATACTTTGGGAATTGGGGCACCTGGGTGGCTCAGTCACTTAAGTGTCTGACTTCAGCTCAGGTCATGATCCCGGGGTCCTGGGATTGAGCTCCGTGTCGGGCTCCCTGCACAGTGGGGAGTGCCACTCCCCCTGTTTGTGTTCTCTCACTCTTCTCTGATAAATAAAGAAATAAGATCTTTAAAAAAATAAACAAATAATTTGGAAATTGCTTGGCAGTATTTTCAAAAGTTGAATGTACACTTACTCCATGACTCATAAAGTCTACCCTGTATGTAAGCCCTACAGAAACATGTATATCTGAGCACCATAAGACATACAGGTAAGTTCTTATAACTTGTTATAGCCCAAAGCAGAAAATGACCCAAATACTTATCAACAATAAATACATAAACAATAAGTAAATTGTAACATGTGCATAGAGTGGTATATTGTAATGCAATGAAAATAAGTATAATAGTGCCATACACAAAAACATGGATGAATCTTATATAATCTTGAGTTGAAAATACTAGACCAAAAAATTCAAAAGCAGACAAAACCTATTCTATGGTGACAGAATTGAGGATCATGGTTACATCAAAGAGGCTCAGTGATGTGTGAGAAGGAACCCATAGTGGGACTTTGGATGAGATAGCAGTGTTCTATTTCTTGACTTACCCAGGATTTCCATTTTCTGTAAGTTTGCTTAGAAAAATAGGTTTTGAGGCATCTGTGTGGCTCAGTCGGTTAAGCATCCAACTCTTGATTTTGGCTCAGGTCAGATGAGGTAGTCAGATCAAGCCCTGCATCAGGCTCAGTGGGGAGTCTGCTTGAAGAATCTCTCCCTCTGATTCCCCCCAGGCCCCTCAAATAAATAAATCTTTAAAAAAGAAAAATAGGTTTCAAAAGCTCAAGTATTTGTTAATATGAGAATGGATGAAACAAACAGTGGTATGTTCAAACAGTGGAATACTACTCAGCAGTAAAAATGAACTGCTGAGTCTCAAAAACCCAATTTGTGGATTTTGTTGTTATGTAAATGTTACCTCAAAAGGTAAACAAAACTGTAAACAGATATTGAACTCTGATTAATGTTGGCCATGCTGATGTATTTATAAAAAGCTGTACTAATGTCTGTAATTTACTTTGAAATGCATCCAAAAATTAAGATGGGTTGATGGATGAATTAAGGGATAGATAGATGCAAGTATAATAAAATGTTAATGTTAGAATCTAGGTAATGGGTATAATGTGTTCAATGTAAAATTCTTTCAACTTTTCTGTATTTTTGAAATTTTTCATGAGAAAATGTTGAAAAAAATTACATCTTTTGTGATGATATTTAGAGAAGGCAAATAAGGAGGAAATGAGTCTTAAAAAGCATATTTAACATTAGTGGCAATAATTTTTCTCTTTGAACTATTTAAAGTGCCACCCATATCTTTTGTCTCCTATAGCCTCTTCATCTCCCCTCCACCTTCCTCCCCAAGTGCCGTGATATGCTCTTCAGATTTCAGGAATGAAAATAATATTCTCTGCATGGTTCTTTTCTTTCTTCTTTCTCTGTCTCTCTGTCTCTCTCGCCCTCCCTCCCTCCTTTCCTTTCCTATCTCACACAGAGATTTGGAAGTTGGCCTCTATTGAAATGGTTTGTTTAAAATAAAAACAAACAGCTAAAGTTTAAAGTTCAAAGTTGTTCAAGTGAATCATTGATAACTCATCAGTTGAAAGCTGTTGCTAATTCAGATTCCCATCTACAAAGTGGAACTCATGCAGAGAATGTGAAATATTATACAGTCCAGTCTTTGGCACCAGTCAATGAAGTTTGATTTACCACTTTTTTCTCTAGGTATGTCACATAGTTCTGGGGTTAAGACCAGCCACTCCAGAAGAGGAAGGACAAATTATTAGGTAAGTTTATAGTTTCAATCTGTGTATTTTTCATTATATGTCTATATAGTTGAAATTTCTGACACCTGAAATATATTGTTAATAAGTAACAGCATGTCCCATTTTAATACAGTCATTACAGTGACACTTTGTTTCTCCAAATTAATTTCATGTTGAAATATTTTTGTTAATTTCCTAACCAAGGGATTGGATTAATTCAGAAATCAGATTCTCATTAGCATTAAAATTGCATTGAGTACTGAATTATTATTTTTTGAAATAAGACATTTTATACAAAAGATAAAAGGTAGCAATTTTTCCTTACTACAAAACAATTCATGTTTGATTATAAAGTAGAGCTAAACAAAAAGAAGCAAAAAAATGCCCATCACCTCTTTATTTACAGGTAATTGCTGTTGACATTTTTTCCAGCATTATTGAGGTATAATTGACATCTAATATTGTAAGATATTTAAAGCGTACAGGGTGATTTGATATATGTATCCATTGTGAAAGGATTCCCTTCATCGAATTAACACATCCATCACTAGCCCCTCACATACTTTTTAGTGTAAGTGAGAATATTTAAGTTCCACTCTTCAGTTATACACTATAGTGTTAATCAACTGTAGTCACCATGTTGTACATTACATCTGCAGACTTGATTCATCTTATCACAAAAGTTTGTACCCTTTTTTATCAGCCTTTCTCTATTTCCCCCAACCCCCAACAACCACTTTTCTACTCTCTGTTTCTGAATTCGACTTTTTTATGATTCTACATATAAGTGCTATACCTTGCAGTATTTGTCTGTCTTTGGCTTATTTCACTTCGTATAATTCCTTTCATCCTCATTCCTGTTGCTGTAAGTGACAGGATTTCCTTCTTAAGACTAGATAATAGTCCATTGTATATATATGTACCACATTTTGTTTATCCATTCATTCATTGTTGGACACTTAGGTTGTTTCCATACCTTGACTTTTGTGAATAATGCTTCAAAGAATATGGAAGTAAAGCTGTCATCTTCCAGATGATTTTGCTTCCTTTGGTTATATACCCAGAAGTGGGATTGCTGGGTTATATGGTAGTTCTTTCTTAAAATCTCATGTAAAGCCTTTTTCTTACAGTGGCTATTCCAGCTTACAGTCCCACCAGCAGTGTACAAGGGGTCCTTTTTCTCTCCATCTTTGCCAGTGTATATTATCTCTTGTGTTTTTGATAATAACCATCCTGACAGGTGTGAGGTCGTACCTCATTGTGTTTTGATTTGTATTTCCCTGATGATTAGTGATGTTAAATATCTTTTCATGTAGCTGTTGGCCATTTGTATGTCTTTTTTTAGAAAAATGTCTATTTAGGTTCTTTGTTATTTTTATTATTATTATTATTATTATTAATTTTACTATTAAGTGATACGAATTTCTTTTTTTTTGGATATAATCCCTTACCAGATTTGTGGTTTGCAAATATTTCCTCCCATCCCATAGATTGACTTCATTTTGTTGATGGTTGCACTATTGACATTTTTATATACGTATACCCATATGTTTATGCCTTTGTTGGAATTTGTAATTTTTTTTAAATGAGAATACTTCAAAATATTGTTTTATTTTGGGCCTCCATTTTCACTGCAGATCATATCAAATGATACTTTTACATATCAGTAAAGCCTCTTATAATTTAAATGATTAATAGGCCCTTTTCATCCCCTATTTTTAATCTCTATTTTTCTTAGTATAATTTAGTAATAAAGTCTATATGCCTTTGGTTAGATGTGTATTTAGGCAAAATTACTTGTGATGAAATATCTTGGTTAATAGGCTTGCACGTTTTTATGGCTGTGATTCAATTTTTAGTACATCAACTATCCTTCATTGTTTGAGTGTTATACCATTATACTCTACATTTGTGTAGAAAGTTTCAGAAACAGGACAGAATCTCTAATAAACTTCGCTTTTAAAAATAAATTCAATACATAGTTTGTTACTTATTCTTAAAAGTAGTGTGTATACAAATTTTTCAGTAGTTTTTTTTGGTGTAGGATTGCTTGATAAAAGAGTTTACCGAAACAGGGGCGCCTGGGGGACTCAGTCGTTAAGCGACTGCCTTCGGCTCAGGTCATGGTCCCAGGGTCCTGGGATCGAGCCCCGCGTCGGGCTCCCTGCTCGGCGGGGAGCCTGCTTCTCCCCCTGCCTCTCTCTCTCTCTCTCTCTCTCTCTCTCTCTCTCTCT